TTGTATAAACTATTATTTATTGATCATCTTTTTTATTTCTTAGATAACCAAGCTTATAGTGGAGTATTATTGAAGATGACTATAATTACCTTCAGAATCTTGCAAAAACTCTCTTCGCAATTGTACCATCACAAGCAAACTGTGAGCACAATTTCTTAATTCTAAAATGGATATATAGTACTTATCAAACTAGGCTATCAGTTGAATGGCTTGAAAGTATAGCATGTATTTATTCATTTTATATTTCTAATCTTAAAAAAGTACTTGTATATTATGGAAAAGATTTATCAGAAATCGAATTACATAATAATGCATTAAATCAAACATCATTTACAAATAATGAAAACAATGATATGATTATAGCAGAATCTGAAGAAAAGTTTGTAGAATACAATCAGTTAAATAATTAAAAGCTTGAAATTAGTTCTATTGTTGATTTATCAGATGCAATATTTGGTGGACAGGGTTATGTTGAAGAAAGTTTAGCAACTATACGTGAAAGTGGAAATATAGAGTTTGACCCAATTATGATTGTTCAAAATGAACTTCAGTCAATTGATCCTAATTTGTTATAATTTTACTTTTTTAAACTTTATTTTATTTAGTATTTTAGTTTTTTTAAAATTTTTTAAATTCTTTTGTTTATATTAATAACTATTATATATTCTCTAATAAATAGTTTACTGTCTCTAAAATTGATTCTCAGACCAGCTAATACTATATCAAAAATAGCACTAACAAATATTTGATACTGGAGTTGAACGATAATCTAAGTCTATCTAAATAAAAAAATATAAGAAGTATATCTAAAGTAAAAAATCATAAATTAAAATAAATCTAAAACTTGTAATCTTCGAATTAAGGTATACACCTTATTATAAAAAAAAATAACAATTATATAGTAATTAAAGATCTATTAATAGATCAATACCTTAAAAAATTTCACCAAAACTAATAAAACAAAAACTTATTATATAGGAATTAGCTTTGAATGATCATTGATCAGTTATCTATTAATATAAATATTCGCAACCTTAATAGCTTGCTCAATTCACAAATATTAACGTGAATAAAATGAAATTAATAATTATAAATGATTACAGGAGATAAATAACCCACTATTTTTCTCTGAGCTAAATAATAAAGGACCATGGTTCTATTTTAGTTTGCTCGTTTCTACTCCTAGAAGTTTCTTGACTATTTGCACTATGTTGCCCATAGGATACTAATAGAAAGAATTAAAAAAGAAGTCTAAGAAGAAGTAGTATAATGCGTGGTTATCTAAGAAATGAAAAAGATGATCAATAAATAATAGTTTATACAAACTAAATAAACTTCTTAAATTCATCAAATTGATGCAGTAAAATACCGTGTAGTGGTAAATATTAACGAACTTAATCTCAATAATCACTAACTGAATTGATGTAAGATAAAATTAGATAATATATAAAAAAAAGTAAATATTCACAAACACCTTAAATTCATCAAATTGATGCAGTAAAATAACATGTAGTGGTAAATATTCATGGACTTATTCTCTATAATTACTAACTGAATTAATATGATATAAGATAAAATTAGATAATATATAGAAAAAAGCAAATATTCACAAACACCTTATTTAAATATGCTAATTATGGTAATGATGGTTTAATACTTACTAATTAATATAAATAAAGCAAACTATATTAATAAAGTGGTAAGTATTCATAAGTTTAAGTAGCTTGAAATTCTCAAAAACAATATCTAAATTTATTTGGAATCAACGTTCACAGGTCTTAACTAAGTGGCTTATATATGAATTTAAAAATAATATTTCAGATTTCATTTAAACAATATTACCTTTAGTACTAGATTGGTAGTTGAGTGTAAATATAACGACAGATTCAGTGATCTTGGCATGCGAGTTTACACACTGATTCAGGTATTTGATAAAAAAAAAACACTCTTGTTATATTAAATATTAAAAGACTTAAAAAAATATAGATGTAAATAATTTAGTGGCCAAAATACTGTAATTTCGTAACGGGTATTTAAAAATTATTGCTTAAGAAAAATATCATTATCTTGTAAGTGCTAAAGTTATTATTACATGTGTTACATGATATTTAATTTAGTACTTAGCCGAATGTTTCGGCTAATCCCAAATAAATCCCAAATATAGTTTAGGTTATGGGATTCTACTGATGTTCCAAATTACCAGGTTTGGGTAACATCACTAGTGTATGGTTCCATATCTTCAGTTATTGGATATGCTTTGAACCGGTCAAGGTCTTTGAAAGTATCTCTAGTGTTTTGGTTAAGTTTTCTTGGTTTTTTATTAGGAAGTTGTTGGTTTTGCTTAAGTTTGTTAAGGAAAGTAGCGAATAT